TGGTATTAATTGGTATGATTTAATTATTCTGTTTTCTCAAAAGAAAGGCACTATAGCTTAATGATTATCGCAATTAAGTGTTATGTAAACTTAAGAGCTATCTCTAGGACCAAATGAAGCAACAGCTTCATGCCTCATATGAAGGGTTTGATTGGCAGAGCATTTTAAAGAGTATTATGCCTTTTATCATTAAAATTTGATTGGTTGACAGAGCATTAAGTAGGGCATTTAGTAACTGTAAATGCTCTCAAAATGCTCATCCCTCAATGTTCTCAAATGGAGCATTTCCAGAGCATTGATCTCTATATATTTTTACAAAAAATTAAAAACAAAACTATATAACTAACCAATTTATTTTATATTACAATAAAAACAAATTATATTAACTTTTAATTATTTTAATTCATATTTATCATTATTTTATTTATTCTATTATATTAAGATAATATTATAATATAATACTAATTCAATTAAATATAATTTAAATTCAAAAAGATTATAAAAGAAATTTATGTTATAATTTATGAATATAATATATACAATCATTTCAATAAAAGTAAATATACATAATTTCTGTAATTATAAAACATATATATTTATTAATATTTATCATTTTTTATATGTTCTATTATTTTTAAAATAAATTTTAATAAAAATATAACTTAAATATTACAATTTATAATTCTTAAACATATTTACATTTATATTAAAATGAAAACTTAATATATACCATTCGTTTATTTGTTATATTATTTGTGAAATAGTATTATAATAAAATAATAATTTAATTAAAAAATAAAAATTAATGTTATAACTTATGACTAATATATATATATATATAATGTATTAGAATACATATAAATAAGTAAAACAAAATAATTTATTTTAATTTTATATCTAATCATTTACAGCTCAACCAATCAGTTAAATGTGTATATTAATCAGAGCATACTGCTCTAACTGCTTACTGCTAATGTTGCATTATGTTACTCCTCATCAAAAAGCTATACCAATCAAGGTCTAAATAGTGCAAAAATAATAAGCATTTAGCCATTCACTCGGCTATAATGATTATTCCAATAAGACAAAACGAGTGTTCCGTTTTTTTTTTTAAATCCACTATTTGCATTTTTTTTACTACCTTTTAAAAAAAAAATTTAAACACATTAATACGTAAAC